GACACCCAACTGGATCAACGACGCGAACTTAGTTTCACAGCCGGCCACTCAGAACTTAGCTTCGGGTGCTCAACCGTCTGCGCCCACTGCTACTGTTTCTGCAGTTAGTTTCGACCCAGAGAGCCTGCAAAGCACTGGCTCGACTTTGACCAACCGGAGTACTGTTCGAAGAACTTCGAAGTTAGGTACTGCCGGAGCACTTTTGGGTACTGTTGCTGTTTTGAGCATGTTTGGTAGATCTGAAGGACTGTCACTGGACTCTCAACCTTCAGATGCCTCAGATGTCTTGGATTTGTTTCACGAGACTTGTTTAGCCTCACTCTCACTTCAAGAGCATTGGGTCTTGTTTGACTCTGGAGCTGCTGCTCACTGTTGTCCTGCGAACTATGCCTCTGACTATCCTCTCCTTCCACTAGGTGAGAATCCTCCCAAGTTGAGAAGTGTGACTGGAAAACCACTGACAATATACGGACGCAGACTAGTTCGGTACAACTGTGACGGTGTATATTTGAATGTCAACTATTATGTATGCGATGTTCCTTTTTGTTTGGTTTCTGTTGCAAGAATGGTTTTGCAAGGTTTTTGGACTGTTCTTGGAAAGGACTGTTTAATGTTACTGACTCCTGAAGGCGAGAAAATTTCAATCACTCGACACGGCACTTTGCTGTACCTGACACCATCACTTGAACCATTCTCCAATAATCCACCAGAACTCACTGCGCACTTCGAAGAACACATGGGAGAACTTTCCACTGAATTGAGTCATATCACTACCGAAGAGAGTACGATCGTGACTCAAGATGATCCACTTGAAAAATTGGAATCCCTCATTGGAACTATTAAGCCAAAGTACTATCATGTTGATGAATGGCAACTCGATGAAGCAAACTACAAATTGGTGAGAATTCACAAATGCCCAAGAAGAAGTCTGTTTACTCCTGGTCCTGGATCTCCTGTTGAACTGAACCAACTCTCAGGAGTTCGAACCACTTACCTGGACTATGGACAAGGTAAGACAGACAAGATCGTGGACTTTGACTTCAAGAACTTGCCAGAACCAAATACTAGACAGGATGAGTTTTGGAAAGGTAGAATTGTTTTTCTCCTCAACTCACCTCCTCCTAGTCGTAGGTATTTGACTAAAGGACCACCTCCAGGTGTTCCAACTCCAGCCTCTGAGGATGTAAACACTGAACAGGTTCAAGATACTGAAGTCACTGAGGACACTTCACTGAAGTCACGAAAGCGACACACTGAGGAACTACGCTGTTCACTGGATGAGGATGTGATCGGCAAGAAACTGACAGCCGAACTGCTGTCATGTACTGCCTGGAACTCTAGTTACCTTAGGGTGAAGCTAACTGAACTTTTCTTTGTCCCAGATCCAACCACTGGTGAACAAAGGACTGGTGACTACTGGTTTCAACTTCCAATTGCATGGGTCAGATTCCATTACCAATTAAGAAGCACGCTGTTTGAGCCTGACTTCACTGACGGAGGACCAACTGAAGACCAACTTGGTTCATTGCGTTGGACTGTTTTCGTGAAATCGCCGGACAGACCCAAGAGTGATGGAATGACTTACTGCAACTGGTGGAGAGAAGAAGATCAGAAAACTGATCAATATCAAGTAGGACTTGATGTAGGACATAGTTGGATCGGATACACCATCTTTGAGCCTGCTCCACTGGAAAACTTCACTGAGGAACCAGAACAGGAGACGTTTGATGTCACTGCGCGTAAGCCTAAGGCACTGACTTCTCCACTGGAACCGACACAGCAAGAACGAGAACTTCACAACTTGACACACTTACCATATCGTAGCTAGTGTGAGATTTGTGTCAAAGCGAAAGGTAAAGAAACTCCATCCAGAAGAAACTTGGACAGACAACCGGTCATCCAAGTTGACTACTGTTTTCTGACAACTGGTGATGGATGCCCAACTGTGACGGTTCTCACTGCTGTAGACATTCAAACTGGACTTGGTTCTGCTGTTGTGACTCCTAGCAAAGGTAGAGACCAGTACTGTATTGCTGAACTGAAACACTGAAACGTTTTGTTTTTGAGATTGGAAGAACTTATGGTATCATTCAATACGACCCAGAACCTTCACTGAAGGCTTTGGTTTCAGAAACGCTGACTGAACTTGGCGGAATGTCCATGAGAGCAACTCCACGTGACTGGAAACAGGCACATGGTTTTGTAGGTAAGTCTCAACAAAACTTTTACGGTCAAGCAAGAGCAATCAGATTGCAACTACAGGAGCGATACAAAGTGCAAATTTCCGTGCAACATGCCGTTTATCCGTGGATTGTGAAACACGCTCAGTTTACTTTGAATCGCTTTCTCACTCACTCTGATGGAAACACCTCATACTTTCGACGTTGGGGAAAGAACTATAGCTCGACTGTGTGTGAATTCGGAGAAACTGTTTTGTTTCGCTACCCTGGAAAACTGAAAGACAAAGGAGACACTGCATGGAGCACTGGCATTTGGTTAGGACGTGACACTGAGGCTGATGAGCACATTGTGTCCACTGGAACTGGCATCACTAAGGTGAGAACTGTCAAGCGACAGGTCCCATCCAAACAATGGGATCAGAAACTGTTTCTGAAACTTCAGGCGACTCCTTGGGATCCAAAAGCAAAACAGGCGATTGACACTTCATTTGTTTTGCCTCCAACTTTGACTCCCACTGGAAGAGTCCGTGAACCACCAGGACTCGAACGTGAAACTCAAACGGATACTGAGGATTTACCAACAAAAGAGACTCATGAAACTGTCACTGAAACGCAAGACGACTCGAGACTTGAAACGCTTGAGACGACTGAAACTGAAACGAGACTTCCACCGGAAACGAGAGTTAGAAACGAAAAACGAACTGCTGAAAATCAAGAACTTCCTGAAGACTTGCTTCCGGATGACAAACGACTCACTATTGCTGCAATCGGAGTTTTCTCGGTCACTTTGAAAGACGGAACTGAAGTTCCCGTCGCAGTAAACGAAGACACTGAAGAGAAACAGACGGAAATCAAACTGAATGAACCTCAACTGTTGAGGACTGAACCAAATTTCCTGATGAACTTGTCATTGAAGGAATGCAAAAGGAAATGAAAAGCATGAAAGAATTTGATGTGTATGAAGAAGTTCCAATAGAACAGTGTTCGCAAGAAGACATTGATCCAACACTTGACTGCAAATGGGTGAAACGCTGGAAAACTGCAAACACTGTCAGATGCAGACTCACTGCTCGCGGATGCTTTCAAGAAAACATGGATCAAGACACTCTGTTTGCAAGTACACCTACACTGGTGACACTCAGAGTTCTGCTTGTTATGATGTTGTCTAGAACATGGTCATGTTTTACTTGTGACATAAGCACTGCGTTTCTTCATGCACTCATGATGGACCGTGTAATGCTGATTCCACCAAAAGAGTACTATCCTGGACAGAACTGCCTCTGGAGACTGAAACGAGCAATGTATGGTTTGAAACAAGTGCCAGCACTGTGGCAACAACACTTTTGCTCAACGATGCTGAAACTCGGAATGAGACGCTCCAAAGCTGATCCGAACTTGTACTGTCATTCTTCTGGCGACTTGTATGTCCTTTGCTATGTAGATGACCTTTTGGTTTGTGGAAAGCACGAACTTGCCGTGCAATTCACCAAAGACTTGGAAAAGGAAGTTTTACTCAAAATTGAAGCTGAACTGAAGCCTGGTAAGTCAGTAAATTTTCTTGGACGCGTTTTGCGACATAATGGCGACAGCGTAGACATTTGCATGCCGCAAGACTACATCACTAAGACGCTGGACTTGTACAACATGGTCAAGGCTAAAGCGGTAGGAACTACGGGTATCACTAGTTTTTCACATCGACTGGACTTGGATGATCCACTAAGCACTGACGAACACAAAGTCTATCGTACTGCTGTTGGAAAACTGTTGTGGTTAGCTCTGATCAGACCAGACATGTCCTATGCGACTAAGGAACTGTCAAGAGATCTGACTGCACCGACAAACCGAAGCTTACTGAAACTGAAACACTTACTGAGGTACCTTGCTGGAACTAAGGACTATGTGCATCGACTTCGTGCGGGGATCACTCTTAGTAGCAACAAATGCACTCTTGATTTGGACTGTTTTGTGGACAGTGACTGGGCTGGTTGTCAGCGAACTCGAAAATCAACTTCAGGCGTTGTTGTTAAACTCCTCAACTGCCCTGTTGATTTTTGTGCAAGAACTCAGGGTACTATCGCGCTCTCCTCAGGAGAAGCCGAGCTGTACGCGATAGGACAAGGAATTTCCGAAACACTGTACGTAAGAAACTGGATTCTCGATGCGGAACTGGCAAAGAAAGTCAAACTCCACATTTACACTGACAGCACAGCAGGAAAAAGCATGGCAACTAGGTTTGGTTCTGGAAAGAAAACCAAGCACGTTGAACTGAGATTTTTGTACATGCAAGACTTGGTTGTGCGGGGAGACCCCCAAATACGCAAAGTTCATACTACTGAAAACTGCGCCGACCCCTTTACTAAATACCTGGACACTGAGACTTTGAAATCACACTTAGGTAGGTTATGTGTTGAAACTGTTTTTCGTTGTTTTGACTTGTAACCTCAAACTATACAGGCACTGTTTCACCAAGACACTGCGGAAACTCACTTTGGTAGACTAAGTTTTCAAAGGGGAGACTGCTGCTGAACTGCCGCTGAACTGTAGCTGCAACTCAGCACTCTCACTTCGTTTTCTGCACTGAATTTGGCCAAGAGTTCACTGAGTTTTACTTTTACTGAATTTCAAGAAATCAAATCTGCATGACTGTTTGAACTGAGTACTGAACGGTACTCGAGCACAGGAACTGAATTCGACTCTGCAACTCGTTTGTTTTCGTGGTTCAAACTCACTCGCTGTTTGACTGCAATGACTGGTAGAGACTGCAAAGGAGTACTACCAGGTACTACGTCACTGTAGCGCTGCACTACCTCCTCTCTGAGGATGGCAACTGAGACTGCCGCCGTGGCTGTCGCACAGACTGGAGAGACTCAGAATACTGAGGTAGCACTGACTGCTACTCCTGACACTGAAGCCTACAATACTGTGATTGAGATGCTGAAGAGTCGGGAACTGGAACTTAGTGTTACTCAGCTGGAACTGTTGGAAAGTGTGACTCGCCAGATGCTGGATCGCAACTCAGCACTGGAAAAGAAGTGCACTCGCCAACTGCTCAACCACACTGAGCTGTCTTGCACTACAGCGGAGCCACTGTATCTGTGTCGTACTACTCGGCCCACTGCGACTACCAAGTGCAACTCCTTTGGACTTGGACTGTTGGTCGCACAGAAGACTGGCTATGAATCCACTGATGATGTGTGGATTGGCGTACTCTCACCCAACTCGGTGTTCCCGGTTCTGAGTACTGCCCACTACGCCTACAGTGTCAGTGGACGACAGAGATGACACTGTGATCACTGTGAAGAAGGCCGACTGAGATGACACTGAGAGACTTTGAATTCAGACTGTTAGCAATAGGAGTAAGCACTCATCTGAGAATGCTGAAGACTAGGTTGACTGTCTCTGCATGAGACTTGGAACTAGCACTTTAGACTTTCACAAGTGTATTGAAGTCTATACTTCTCAAGACTTGGATCGTCTAACTTGCACGTACTGTAATAAGTGTGGATCCTCAGTCACTCAACTGGACTGCTGATCCAAAGGGGAGTGTTAGATATGACTGTCACTCTGCACTCCACTGCACAGTACACTGAATCTACTGCACTGCCAAACTATGGTTTGGCTCAAGCCTGGCTCAAGCCTGGCTCGAGGCACTAGGAACTCAACTGACGCTGGTGAGACGTTGTACTGTGACTGATAGACTGGCGTGAGTGAAAACTAGAAGCTGACTGATACTGCACTGTTTGGTGGACTTGAAAGTGAACTTGACGCTTCGCAATTGTTTGGTTGGTTGGTTGGTTGGTTGGTTGATTGATTGATTGATTGATTGATTGATTGTTGTTGTTGTTGTTGTTGTTGCCGTTGTTTGTTGTTGTTGTTGTTGTTGTTGTTGCTGCTAACGCCGCCCGTAGAGACGCGGCGTTTTTTAACGTTTTTCCCCAACAGCAGAAGCTTTGGGGTCTTCAGCCATAGTAAAGGTTTCGGAGCAGACCGGAGCAGCTCCAAAACCCATTCCCCCAAGGTTCCCAAGGTTCCCAAGGTTCCCAAGGTTCCCAAAGTTCGGAAGGTTCCCAAGGTTCCCAAGGTTCCCAAGGTTCCCAAGGTTCCCAAGGTTCCCAAGGTTCCCAGGAAGAGGTTCCCAACCAACGTTCCCAAGCAAGGTTCCCGGTTCCCAAGCAAGGTTCCCAAGAGGTTCCAAGCAAGGTTTTCAGGAGGAGGTTCCCAAGCAAGGTTCCCAAGAGGTTCCAAGAAAGGCTCAGAGGTTCCCAAGCAAGGGTTCCCAGCAAGAGCTTCCCAAGCAAGGGTTCCCAGGAAGAGGTTCCCAAGCAAGGTTCTTAGGAAGAGGTTCCCAAGCAAGGTTCCCAGGAAGAGGTTCCCAGGAACACGTTCCCAAGCAAGGTTTCCAGGAACAGGTTTTGCAAGCACGGATTTCAGGAACCGTTTTCAAGGTTCCCAAGAACCGTTTCCCAAGCAAGTTTTCCAGGAACATGTTTTTCCAAGCAAAACAAGGTTCCCAGAACAGGGTTTCAAGCAAGTGTTTCCAGGAAGAGGTTTCCAGGAAGAGGTTCCCAAGCAAGGTTCCCAGCAAGTTTCCCAAGCAAAATTTCCAGGAACATGTTTTTCCAAGCAGAACAAAGTTCCCAGGACAGGTTTTCAAGCAAGTATTTCCAGAAGAGGTTTCAAGGAAGAGGTGTCAAAGCAAGGTTCCCAGCAAGCTGGTTCCCAAGCAAGGTTTTCAGGAAGAGGTTCCCAAGCAAGGTTCCCAGCCACAGGTGCCCATACAAGGTTCCCAAGAACAGGTTCACAAGTAAGGTTCCCAAGCACGTTCGAACAGGTTCCCAAACAAGTTTCCCAAGAACAGGTTCACAAGTAAGGTTGCCGGAAAAAGTTCCCAGGCAATGTTTGCAGGAAAAGGTTCCCAAGCAAGGTTCCCAGGAACAGCTTCTCAAGCAAGGTTGCTAGGAAGAGGTTCTGAAGCAAGGTTCCCAGGAAGAGGTTCGCAAGCAAGGGTTCCCAGTTGTTCCTGGAAATTTTGCTTGGGAACCAGCTCTTCCTGGGGACGCTTACTTGAGAACCTTTTCCTGCGAGCCTTGTTCGTGCTTGGAACCTTGCTTGGAAACGGTTCCTGGGACCTTGCTTGGGAACCGTTACCTGGTAACCGTACTTGCAATCGGTTCCTAAGAAATTAACCTTGCTTGGGGTCCTCAGCCACCCCAGGAACAAGATTTCCAATCACATTTTCCGGGTTTAGGTTCGCATTACCAGGAACGATTCCCAAGCCAGGTTCCCAGGCAAGGTTCCCAAGCAAGGGTTCCAGAAACAGTTGCCAAGCAAGCTTCCCAGGCCAGGAACAGGTTCCCAAGCAAGGTTCCCAGGAACAGGTTTCCAAGAAAAGGTTGCAAAAAAGGTTTCCAAGAATAGGTTCGCAAGCAAGGGGTTTCCAGGCAATGTTCCTGGGAACAGGTTTCCAAGCAAGGTTCGCAAGACCAGGTTCCCAAGCAAGGTTCGCAAGAACAGGTTCCCAAGCAAGGTTCGCAAGAACAGGTTCACAAGCAAGGGTTCCAAGAACAGTGCCTCAAGTTCCCAAGCGAGGGTTCCAAGAACAGGTTTCCTTGCAGGGTAGCGGCAAGGTTCTTGGGAACAGGTTCCCAAGCAAGGTTTCCACGAACAGGTCCCCAAGCAAGGTTCCCCAAGGACAGGTTCGGTTTGCAAGCAAGCTTCGCAAGAACAGGTTTGCAAGCAAGGGTTCGAAGAACAGGTTCCCAAGAACAGGTTCGGGTTCCAAGAACAAATTCTCTAGGAAGGTTCCAAGCAATAGGTAGCCAGCACGGTTCCCACGAACATGTTCCCAAGCATGGTTTCAGGCTGTTCATGTTCCCAGGAACAGCTTTTCAAGAACAACTTGCAAAGCGAAATTTCGAAGACCATCTGCAAGCAAGGTTGGAAGCAAGAATAGAATCCCAAGCCAGGTTCCGAAGGACAGGTTCCTAAACAAGGTTCCTAAGCAAAGTTACGAAAAACAGGTTCCCGAGCAAGGTCCCAATGAACAGGTTTGAAGCAAGCAGGCAAAGTTTCCAAGAACAGGTTTCCAAGAGAAAGTTCCCAAGAACAGGTTACCAGGCAATGCTCCCAAGAGCAGGTTCCTAAGAATAGGCCCCCAAGAACAGTTTCCCAAGCAAGGTTCCGATAAACAAGTGTCAAGCAACGTGTCCAGGAACAGTTGCCCAGGCAAGGTTCCAAGAACATTGAACAATAGAACGCTGCAAAGTTTGAAGATTTGTTCTAATAACGGAACGGAGAGATTGAAGAACTAGTTTTGCTCCAAAAAATGATACGGCACTCGCACATGGATAAAACACTAGACGACAGCGTGGCATGGAAGAAGGCAGTAGGGAGGAGACGAGAAGATAATACACGAGAAAAATGAAGATGGTGATGATGATGACGACAATGATGATGGCGATGACGATGACGAGGATGAATGGCGATGGAGATGATGATGAATGATAGCTGACGCGAGTCAAATATCATATATCCACGGTTTCGCGCCTTTTTTGGCCCCACAGAGGGTTTGCTCCAGGGCTGGCACCTGAGTGACAGTCAGAATCCAAAGACATGTTGTTTTTACACAGCGAAAAGTTTACACAGAGAAGATGTTACACACAGAAGCCTTTACACAGAGAGGGATTTACACAGAGCAGCTTTTACACAGACGCTTTTGCACACAGACGCTTTTACACACAGAAGCTTCTAAGCAGAAAAGCCTTTTCTAAAGAAGCCTTACCACATGAAGCCTTTACACAGAGCAGCTTTATACACAGACGCTTTTTCACAAAGATGTTTTTACACACAGGAATTTAACGCGCAGATGCCCAAGCTTTTACACACAGGAGCTTTTGCACACACACGCCTTACAAAAAGAAGCTTTTAGACACAGAAACTTTTACAGCCTTTTCACAAGAAAGCTTTTACACAGAAGCTTTTGCACAGAGATGCCTTTACAAACAGAAGCTTTTACACGCAGAAGCTTTTACTCAGAGAAGCCTTTAAACAGAGCAGCTTTTACAGACACAGAAGCTTTTACACAGAGAAGATTTTGCACAGAGAAGCTTTTTCACAGACAAGTGTTTGCGGGAAGGAACTTTGAGCACAAACGGTTTTTAGATACAGCAGCTTTCACACAGAGAAGCTTTTGCGCGGACCAGCTTTTACACTCAGGTTTGTTTTCACGGAGCAGCGTTTACGCGGAGCAGCTTTTACACACCGAAGTTTTGACGCAGAGAGGCCTTTACACAGAGAAGCTTGTACACACAGAAGCTTTTACACACCGACGCCTTCGCACACACACACACACAGATGCCGGTACACAGAGCAGCTTTGACACACAGACGCTTTTACACAGAGAAGCCGTTACACAGAGCAACTTTTACACAGCGCGGCTTTTACACAGAGACGCCTTTACACAAAGAAGCTTTTCTACACAAACGCTTTTACGCATAGAGGCCTTTACACACAGAAGCTTTTATGCACAGAGGTTTTCACACGGAAGCTTTACACAGAGAAGCTTTTACACAGAGAAGCGTCTAAACAGAGCATCTTTAATACACAGAAGCATTTACACACAGACAAGCTTTACACACACGCCTTTGCACACAGAGCTTTTACACACACAGACGCTTTTACGCATAGAAGCTTGTTCACAGAGCAGGGTTTACACAGAGCACAGAGAGAGGCCTTTGCACAGAGCAGCTTTTACAATCTTATACGCGCAGAAACTTTAAACGCGCCCTTGTAAAATCGCAATTTTACACAAGTTTTATTTCGCGCGAAACGGTTGTGCCTGACGTTTCAAAATGGATAAAGTCGCAATTTTACACCAATTCTTGAACGTTGGCATCTGGCGTTGAAAAATCCCAGTTTTCCCACAGTTATTGCCGTTTGACTTTCATGCCACGCTTGCATCTGAACTTTCAAAATCACAATTTTACACCAGTTTTTAACGGTTGACCCTCATTTCGTGCGAAGGGGCTGTGCCGGGCCTCACCAAATTTGCATTTTGTCACATGTTTGGATGTCCGACCTGCGCGATCTCTGAAGAGGGTTGCCCGTGCCCAAAAGAAATTCACATTCCACCACATGTTTGGGCGTTCGAAACGCACGATCTCCGCAGACGGCTGCTGCGGGCAAAGAAGTTTCGCATTTCACCACACCGCATGTTTGCCCATCCGACTCGCGCCATCTCTGCAGAGGGTTGCCCAAGGACAAACAAGACCCGCATTTCGCAACACGTTTGGGTGTCCGACACGCCGCAGAAGGTAACGATTTGTAAGCCACCGCCTGGCTGTCCCTGCCACCAGAGAGAAATAGAAGAACTGGATGATTTTGCAGGAGTTCAGATACAATTTGATCACCTGGAAGTTAGCTGAACCCCTGTGTAGCAACTCCTGTGTAACAATTTCTGTGCAAAATGACCTTGCCGGCAGGAGTCTTGTAGGAGTTCAAGTAGAAATGGATCACCTGCAAAACAACTCCTGTGTAAATGACATTGTTCAAGTTTTGTAGGAGTTCCCTAGAAGTTGATCACCTGTAGCTGATGTAGGTGATGTTGTCTATGTTGTAGAGTGTAGATGATGAGGATGATGTTGTACGTGATGTAAGGTTAGATAGATTTGAAGATGTAGGTGATGTATAGGATGCAGTGATATAGATGATGATGTAGGTTATGTATGCGTTGTAGGTGATGTATATCATGTAGATGAGGTTGATGGAAAAAGATTGTGTAGGTGATGTAGATGGTGTAGGTGAGATAGATGATGGTGATGATGATGATGGTGGTGGTGATGGTGATGATAATCATGATGATGTAGGGAAGATGGTGCAGGAGATGTAGGTGATGTGGGTGATGTAGAGGATGTAGTGATGTAGATGATGATGTAGGTTAGATGAAGTGAAGAGTGAGGCGGACAGCAGACTTCACTCATTGCGTGTTTGGCAACTGTTTTTGTTTCTGGCTGTTGGGGATACTCTTTGGGCTTATTTTACTGCGTTCATACTTTTTGTGGGTTGTCTGGGTGGGGGGGGGTGGGGTTATGTTAATGTTCCTTGGAAGCGTTACGTGACATACGCTGGGGTTGGGGTGGGGGGGGGGGGGGTGGGGTGATGTTAACGTTCCTTGGAAAGCGTTACGTGACCATACGCTGGGGTTGGGGTGGGTGGGGTGATGTTAACGTTCCTTGGAAGCGTTACGTGACATACGCTGGGGTTGGGGTGGGGGGGGTGGGGTGATGTTAACGTTCTCCAGTATCAGTACCTACTTCTGAGACGAGGTTGATGCTACGTTGTAACATCTTCTCTCCAGTAACTAACTTCGGATACGCTCTGGATGCTACGTTGTAACATCTTCTCTCCAGTAACTTACTTCTGAGACGAGGTTGATGCTACGTTGTAACATCTTGTCTACATCTTCTCACAACTAACTTCGGATACGCTCTGGATGCTACGTTGTAACATCTTCTCTCCAGTAACTAACTTCGGATACGCTCTGGATGCTACGTTGTAACATCTTCTCTCCAGTAACTTACTTCTGAGACGAAGGTTGATGCTACGTTGTAACATCTTGTCTACATCTTCTCACAACTAACTTCGGATACGCTCTGGAGCTACGTTGTACATCTCTCTCCAGTAACTTACTTCTGAGACGAGGTTGATGCTACGTTGTAACATCTGTCTACATTTCTCACAACTAACTTCGAGATACGCTCTGGATGCTACGTTGAAACATCTTCTGTCCAGTAACCTACTTCTGAGACGAGGTTTGATGCTACGTTGTAACATCTTCTCTCCAGTAACTAACTTCGGATACGCTCTGGATGCTACGTTGTAACATCTTCTCTCCAGTAACTTACTTCTGAGACGAGGTTGATGCTACGTTGTAACATCTTGTCTACATCTTCTCACAACTAACTTCAAAGCCTTTGGCAATGGACCTGCAGCTGGCAGTACAGATACAACAATGGCAAAGACCTTTGGACAGCTGTGCCACATGTCCTGAAGCACATCAGAAATGCCTGAGTGCAAAACAGCCCGCGTCTTTACGGGCGGCGTTACCTTGTTGTTGGTTGTTGGTTGTTGGTTGTCGGTTGTCGGTTGTCGTTGTTGTTGTTGTTGTTGTTGTTGTCGTGGTTGTGGTTGTGGTTGTTGTTGTTGTTGTGGTGCTTTGTTTTTGTTGACGTCGACGTTGTTGTCCTTGTCATTGTCATTGTCGTCGTCGTCGTCGTCGTGGTTGTTGTTGTTGCTGGTGGTGGTGGTGTTGTTGTTGGTGTTGTTGGTGTTATTGGTGTTGTTGGTGTTGCTGGTGCTGTTGGTCTTGTTGGTTTTGTTGGTTTTGTTGGTGTTGGTGTTGGTGTTGTTGTTGTTGTTGGTTGTTGTTGTGGTTGTTGTTGTTGGTTGCTGTTGGTTGTGGTTGGTTGTGGTTGGTTGCTGTTGGTTGCTGTTGGTTGCTGTTGGTTGTTGTTGGTTGCTGTTGTTGCTGTTGTTGCCGTTGTTGCTGTTGTTGCTGTTGTTGTTTGTTGTTGCTGTTGTTGTTGTGGTTGTGGTTGCTGCTGTTGTTGCTGTTGCTGGTATTGTTGTTGTTGGTGGTTGGTTGGTTGGTTGCGATGGGTGGTGGTGTGGTGTTGGTTGTGTTGGTTGTGTTGGTTGTGTCGGTTGTGTCGGTTGTGTCGGTTGTGTCGGTTGTGTCGGTTGTGTGGGTTGTTGTTGGTTGTTGTTGGTTGTTGTTGGTTGTTGTTGGTTGTTGTTGGTTGTTGTTGGTTGTTGTTGGTTTTTGTTGGTTGTTGTTGGTTGTTGTTGGTTGTTGGTTGTTGTTGTTGGTTGTTGTTGGTTGTTGGTTGTTGGTTCTTGGTTCTTGGTTCTTTGTTGTAGTTGTGGTCGTGGTCGTGGCTGTTGTTGCTGTTGCTGTTGCTGTTGCTGTTGCTGTTGTTGTTGTTGTTGTGGTTGTTGGTTGTTGGTTGTTGGTTGTTGGTTGTTGGTTGCTGTTGTTGCTGTTGTTGCTGTGGTTGCTGTTGTTGCTGTTGTTGCTGTTGTTGCTGTTGCTGCTGTTGTTGCTGTTGTTGCTGTTGTTGCCGTTGTTGCTGTTGTTGCTGTTGTTGCTGTTGTTGCTGTTGTTGCTGTTGTTGCTGTTGTTGCTGTTGTTGCTGTTGTTGCTGTTGTTGCTGTTGTTGCTTTTGCTGTTGCAAGTTGCTGTTGCTGCTGCTGCTGCTGCTGCTGCTGCTGGTGTTGTTGTTGTTGTTGTTGTTGTTGTTGCCGTCGTCGTCGTCGTCGCCGTTGTTGTGGTTGTGGTCGTGTTTTTTAGTTGTGGGCTGTTGGTTGCTGGTGGTTGGTTGTTGGTGGTTGGTGGTTGGTTTTTGGTGATTGGTGGGTGGCGGTGGTGGTGGTGGTTGGTTGGTGGTTGGTTGTTGGTGGTTGTTGGTGGTTGTTGGTGGTTGTGGTGGTTGTGGTGGTTGTGGTGGTTGTGGTGGTTGTGGTGGTTGTGGTGGTTGTGGTGGTTGTGGTGGTTGTGGTGGTTGTGGTGGTTGTGGTGGTTGTGGCGGTTGTGGCGGTTGTGGTGGTTGTGGTGGTTGTGGTGGTTGTGGTGGTTGTGGTGGTTGTGGTGGTTGTGGTGGTTGTGGTGGTTGTGGTGGTTGTGGTGGTTGTTGTGGTTGTGGTTGTGGTGGTTGTGGTGGTTGTGGTGGTTGTGGTTGTGGTTGTGGTTGTGGTTGTGGTTGTTGTTGTTGTTGTTGTTGTTGTGGTTGTGGTTGTGGTTGTGGTTGTGGTTGTGGTTGTGGCTGTGGCTGTGGCTGTGGTCGTTGTTGTTGTTGTTGTTGTTGTTGTTGTTGTTGTTGTTGTGGTTGTTGTGGTTGTCGTTGTCGTTTTCTTCTTAATTATTCATCCCTTACGGGTTCTGCCTGGCGCAGCTGGGGTCGGCGGATATCTGCAGCAGCTGAAAATGATACCAAACCTTGGTATCATTTTCAGAAATCTATTGCTGATACGTACAAGTGAATGATTGAGATTATCTCGTGCTCGCTCGTCAGATTGAGGAAGTACTCCCTCACCAACGAGAAGTGGTTCTTTCTGTTCTTCATGTGCAACTTGGGCGCTTATTCAGGAGCATCGTTGCTGAAGTTCCCACCATCATTACAGGCAATTTCGTGGCATTGCACAGGACACTACTTCTACCTCCATTTCCTGATGCCTGCGAATCCGTCCGGGTAACTCAGATATAGATTTAAGATGACATGTTCTGCCTGACAACCGTTACGTATGTCATACTGAGTCATAACTTGCAGGCCCAATCCTCCTCGAAATCCTGAGCAGGTTGGGATGCGAGAATGAGATCAGTTGAGATCAGTTGAGATCAGGTCTCAAAAGACTTCACAGAGTGGTTTTGCACAAATGTACTCGCTTCAAGACTGGATGCCATTATTGTGGGCGAGTCTCTTCCGAAAAAAATTGTCATGTCAGAGGTGATGTCCTTTTGTAAGATGGCGTGTAATTTATTTCCAATTTGCATTGGAAACAAACGCGAAAAGTGGTCACAGGTAGGCCACAGGTACCTGTTTGTTTACAGGTTCGCCCAGAAAAGCACATGCATGCGGTGGACGATGATTGATGATAAAGGCTGGAGCAGCCATCGCTTTCACACACAACATTTTTTCCACATTATAACCATTGCGTTTTTGCTTTCAACTTCCACTTTGACTATTCCAGTTGCAAATGCACCAGGCGCAACAGCGCAAGAACCCCAAAATTGTGATCAGCATAGCGCGGTGGGTGGATTTCATCAAAAACATACCGAGACAAACAGAAAACCAGAAAGCACTCAGATTATCAGAATAATCTGTGCAACATATTTCATTCATAGTGGCACCACGTTCGCTGAACCTCACCTGTTTCTGGTTCGATGCCCACCCGTCATTGGTTTCTGGTGTAAAAACATGTGCAGTTTCGTCACACTGTCGAGACCTTGTGCACTGAGCAAGGAAATTGAATGCCAAGTGTGCTGTGTAAATATAACGCAGTGGCTTTCCTCTCCGAGAAAGATCGGCGGAGTCTATGCCCTGCCCGTCAATGTTTTTGAATAAACAAACTTCGATTTGCTGAGATCTTATGGTTCATCCTGTAGCAGCGCTGCTCTCGCAAGGGAAAACTCATCTTCTGTGTGCTGCAGCTTACCTGCGCGGGGAGAATAATTCAGGTTCCAGAAGGAATTCAGAATTCACAAGATCCCAGCATCTCTTCATTTGATTTGCTTTGCTATTGGACCCATTATTTTATTGCTGAGCTGCCATGCAGCAGAAGGTCTTGCTGTATTAGATTATGTTTTCATACACAGAGAGAGAGAGAGAGGGATGTAGATACTTGACACATCCAGGCGCGCATACCTCCCATGACTAGGCAGGCAGCTAGGCAGGCCAATATCATTCACATGGAAGAGTGACAGCGAGAGAGATAAACGCAGACAAAACTTGTACAACATATTAATTCACTAGGTCGAGTACTTTGCCACAATCAAAGACACAGCATTTTCCATGCCTGCCTCTTTCTGCACGTGTTCCACCCTTTGAAACCTCCACCATTTGTCCGCTGGGATCGGTAAGGCAATTGTTGTGTTGCGTTCAACAAAATACATTAGACGCATTGCACATATAGCTTGCATACCTTGCCGAGACCAAAACATTTTGCCTTGCCGCGAAGGTAGCGAGACAGAGATACAGACATTTACTGTCGATAGGTCAACAGGCACGTGCACAATAGAGTGTGGCATGCTTTTGTCCCCGCAGACACAGATGTTTGGCCACTACTCTGTTGATGTCTTGGGTCTTGTGAATGCCCATTATAGAACTGCATCTGTGTGATTCAGCAAGGCTGCGAATCCATGTGCTCTTTTGTGCGTATTGGTAGTATTGGTGTTTGAACGTATTTCATGGCGATGGCGTTTCATGGTGGTTGGCGGGTTGGACTTACTCTACTAGAAGTCACCGTGAGCATCTGCCATTCAATGACACTTCCACCGCTCAGCGACGGCTCCAAAAGCACTTACGCCGTTGAGCGTTGCTCCAAGGTGCGCCTGGCCTCAGTGAATTGATTCTGCACATACGCTAACCATGTAGTGAGTGTCCTAGTTCACCCAGTTGATAGTTTGCAGCTCAATCTTTAGACCGATGAGTATTGAAGATGTCGAAGTCACCATCCGCTATTTCCATCTCTTTCTGCACTTTCAGTCCCGCTTCATTTTTCGTTTTTTTTTTAAACGAAACTGTGCAGGCCATGCTGCTCGGCCGCGCGGCAATTGCCCGCGCCCGCGGCGCAATGGTGCGCCACTGTGGGTGAAAAGCCCAGTGATTTTTTTAGAACCATTAGAACCAACATTTGCATGCCATTCGGTATGATACATTGGTGTATACATGTGTGTATAGGCTGTATATGTAATTTCATGGAATTTGTGCATTGCTACATCGACCTTCAGATGAGGAAACTGCCAGGCCAGGAAGAAGCAGCTGTTGTTTCTTGTGGCTATCAGTTATAAGTTATAACCTTCACGAATCTTTACATAAGAACTCATGAGTCTCTGAGGTACTGGTATCACCTGGTATCACCTGGTATCACCTGGTATCATCTGAGATCATGAGACCCTCGATGCGCTCAGGACGTCGCTGCGCGTGCCGAAGGCTCCCCCAGGCGAGGTCTTTCACGCCCAGATGATGCTTCCGCCACTTGGACCTCAGACCTGGACCAGAGGAGCAGACTCAGAAGGACCCGAATCTTCGCCGAAGCACCATTGGACCATGAGTAGTGTCTGACAGATGTCATGGTCTCATCATCGTCTTATCATCGTCTCATCATGGTCTAATCATGGTCTCATCGTGGTTAGTGGCCGCGAGTAGATGATTTCGGAACTTACCAAGACGTGCCGCGTACTCGTCCGACTGAGGAAGTACTCCCTCACCAACGAGAAGTGGTTCTTTCTGTTCTTCATGTGCAACTTGGGCGCTTACTCAGGAGCATCGCTGCTGAAGTTCCCACCATCATCACAGGCAATTTCGTGACATTGCACAGGACACTACTTCTACCTCCATTTCCTGATGCCTGCAAATCCGTCCGAGGAACTCAGACAAACAGGGAGATTGTTGCTGGATTGTTGCTTTTGTGAATGATTTCTGGTATCTTTGAGTTCATAACTCCGTTTATCTTTTGCTTACGACAGCTTGCAAGTCCTCGGATGCTGAGTCCGAATCCGCCTCGAGATCCGGACCAGGCCATTTTGAACCATGTGGCGAAGCACTGGTATGACTCTTCAATGTTTGGTCATGGCGCACAGATGAAACATTAAAAACAGCTGTCATTCTTGTGGGTTGAATTTTACCCTGCAACCCTGCACCACCCTTGCAAGACACACCTTTTGGGCAGCTACGTATGAAGCATGACAAGATTCTGCAGAGAAATTGGCTGTGAGACGAGCTGCTTCCATGACCACAAGACTGCAAAAGACAGCCGGGGCCAGGCAAACGATGAAAAACACATAACCATACATAACAATACTGTCAAAAACAGGTTCAGCCGGTCACTTGAAACTATACGTGATCGATCAGCCTACCAAGCATTTAGAACTGCACAGTGCCTCCTCAAAATGTTGGTAGCATGGCATGCATGGCATAGACATGATACAGCTTGAGACTATTGGATTCGCTCACGCACACGATGAGTTTTTCTGGGCTTTGAAGAGTCAAACACCAGAAAGTTCATGGGTTGCTGAGTTGACAGTTCAACACTGTTCAACCTTGTCGAAAGGCTCCTGAAACTCTTGACTACTTTAAGCATCAAGCGATGCACAGCCATTGTATGCCAGGATTTTCGGCCGTGATAAGCCCCGCTATCCGATGCTATCCGATGCTGTGGCCCCCCTTTGGTTCATCATCCCATATTGCCTTATGATTGCACAGATTGTGCTATCCTGTTGTGCGATTGCCAATGATTTCAATGTAGCAATCGCACAGAGAATTCTCGATCCCGCCGGCAACCGTGGCCAGGTTCGACCTGAGAAGCATATGCACGCAGTCGATGATGACTAAGGCTGGGGGAGATGATCAGACGCTGCATGCTGCCAATATTAAGAATTGCCAGATTCAGATATAGAATATCATTGTAGAATTGTAGAATGTCGTAGATGATTGGATTCAAGATCACTTGCCCGTGCAAAGCGACCCCCCCTACGCAGAGAAACGCTCCAGAATTGAGCAGTCGAACTAGCGCTTCTTCAATTTTATAGCTCCGATGTATGCAGATAAGACTGGTTTTGAGTCGTGAAGAATGCACACTTGAGATCCGAATGATTTTTTTCATATAGGAGGATAGTAGGATAGTGTCGACCAAGAAAGCTGTTTGAAATTTGAAAGGTATTTTTGTCGACCAATGATCACCACCTCCAAATTTAATCAGTGCTATTCAGTGGTTCGTGCAGCCATGGGAGCAAACCAATCAGCCAAGAGTGAGCGGCTTGATCGCCAAGTCTTTGCACAGCTGTCAATCGATTGTGCGACTGTACATTGAGTGGGAGTTTGCCATCGCTTGCTGATGCTGAGGTGCTGGAGTCTGAGAGTATCGGCACAAAGACAATCAGCATTTTTGAAAACATGCGCCACCTGCGATGACATTAAATGTATTTATTTATTTGAGCAGATGTGACAAAGTTGAAAAGCTCAGACACTTCACAGCAAGACAGACAAGCCATGCAATGAGGCTGTGAGATGGAACATGTTTGAACACTATAGCATGCTAGATTTTTGCATGACCTTCAACAAATCCTCGCTTATTTTGCGTCTTGACTTATCACTGAGCTAGTACTCACAGAGTTGATGTGATCTTCGGAAAAGGATCAGCTTTTGTTTTTTTGGTTTCATCGTCGCCAGCCATCAATGCCTTTTGATCTTAAACTATCTTAAGCTGACTTGAGTGAAGAAGCACAAGTTTTGACCGGCAATTGCTACGAAAGGTACGGAAACAAACTGTTGCTTTCCAGTTGTGCAGCATGAGCGGATGGTACTGCAAGATCTAGCGCATGTGGCATCAGGGAGATATTTCCACGTTATGTCACATCCGCAGCCAGAGCCTTTCAATCACCGCGTCTTGCGTGCAAGATCGTCTATTCTTCAAACACTGCAATGAAGCAACTTGCCTCAGGACTTGCAAGACATGATTTCTTGGTGCTTCTTGATGTTTCAAGTGATGCAGAAAGTTGCCGCCAGAAAGTTGTGAAAGTTGCTGGAAGCTTAGCGAAGTGAAGAAACAGAAATAACGAAAGCTTGTACCATGCTGCCGCTTGAGGCAAATGCAGAGAGTCATCTCTGTGCTCTTCGTTTCCTTCGTTTCCTTCTGTGCTAGAGGGGCAAAAATTCACAGTGAAGCAATTTCGGAAAGCGGCATTGCAACATCTGATATCGCTGGAGGGACATCAGGCAGCGGTAGACGTTTTGTTTGGGAGGGGCGGAGTCCGAAGGGCCAGGAAGTAGTGTTTTCTCAGGAAACAGAGCTGATGAACCTCACAAATGCGAAACCAAGTCACTAGGATCAAGACGCATCAAAACGCATTAACAGATACAATTAATCATTATGAATCATTGCTTGTTCAGTATACAGAGCAACCGTATAAATCTAAACACACATTTGTTTCATTACATACGTATGTTTTGCACACATTCACATACTTCAGTATGTTTTGCACGTGTATATGTATACATATATATATATATATGTGAATAGGGCACAGGCCACAGGCAACAGGTCCATGCATGCATGCATGCGGCTAGCATTTGGTTCACCAATTCACGTGAACGTGTGTCTTCAGATACACGTGGCTCAAGACCGCCAACATAGCCGTACGAAGGAAAACCAGTGCCGCTGCTGCGTCGTGGGTCAAGGACATTAAGGACAAAACGGACATAAACGGCGAGCCTTACATCAACAGACAAAGAGTACAGCTCTTTCACAGGTTATCAGCCGTACGCTCACTCTGGGCGTACGGTGGTCCCAAACTGTACATCGTTCTCTTCGGCATCCCGGTCCTCCTGCCCTTCTACAAGTCATAGACCTGCACTAAACGGAGGTGGACTGATAGCAAAGAGATGTCGCAGAAGAACCAGTCGAGCAGCAACGACACAAGCTTTACCTTTGCGGCGAACGCAGCTCCTGCCCAGGCGATCAGTGACACGCCTGGATCTGCAGAGAGCGGTGGCGGCGGTACGGTCTCGTACCGAGGACCTGGAAGTGGAGCGTCTTCACATAGCTTCACGGTGGTCACTCAAGCTGGTTCCCTACGGGGAAGTGCCAACAGATCAACGTCGGCAAGATCTCCTCGCGCTGCGAGAACTCGCGCTGTGGAGAGTGGCGACAATGGTGGCCGGAGCCCATCGGGCACGGCCACGCGGGAGGATGAGGTGGGCAAACCTGCTACCTCATCCAAACGCAAGTCATCGACCAGTGCAACGAGGAACGAGAGTGAGGCACGACTACGACGTCAACTTCAACACAACATTGAAAAGCTGGAAAGAAGTGAACAAGCTAGGACTGAATTGGAAAATAGATTGGCTTTGTATCAAGATGTTCTTTCGCATCGTGATCAAATGGTCAACAATGTAGAGGTCTATTCACATCAACATCATGAAGAATATCAGGAACATGTCAACTCAGAGATGGAATTTATGAGAAGATCCCTCGTCAATGCATACAACCTACTGGACGAACAATCCAATGCTCTTGCTGAGGCACACCTCATGGACGAAGGTTCAACACAGAGGATCTATGAGCTTGGGAAGCGTGGTCAACTTGCTGAAGCAGGTGCGGCCCACATCGTTCAGGAAAGTATGGCTATGAGGGGAAGGTACCACTCTGAATTGGAGAATGCATCACAGCTTATCCGAGAACAACAAGAAATGTCTGAAGCCATGGCGAATCACTTTCGTCAAGATGGGCTACAACTACGTGAAGCATGCGCACAGTATGTCAATGAGAAGGAGGTGGCAAACAAGGAGGAGATGGAAATCTTGAGACAAAGATTGACGGAGAGTTCACAGATGATGGTTGCCAACAATGAGATGGTCATGGAGCACGGTCAACGAGCTGTCGCACTACGAGATGGAACGTATGGCAGAAATGCAATCAACTATAAATGAATTGACTGCGAGCTTAGCGAGAAGGGACGACATCATTGCCGCCAAGGACAGTGCAACACGTGATCATTTTGCGAAAGTTCGAGACATGGCGAACATGGCTCAGAAGAAGGATGATGAGTACCTTTGGAAGCACAATGAACTACAAGTTAAGATCAATCACCTCATGAAGTTCAACGGGAATGAGATTGCTTCGAAGGAATGGTTTGAAGAAAGGTTTAGAGGAGAAGAACGAGTATCGAAAGTTTAGATATACTGAACTTCAAGCATTCAAAGATAGGGAAGTCAATGTTGAGGCTGTCAAGGACGAGCTCTTGGACGAGAGCATGAAGTTGATAGAATCCAACAATCAACTGCGTACCCGAGTTGCCGAGCTCATTGGATCTCGACTCAGCGTAGGCGGGGACGAAAACAATGTCAAGGTGATAGAGGAGTTGAGTGAAGAACTTCATAAAGCAAATCAGGAGATTAATCGACTTCAAGAAGGAGTAGAGAGCAACCCTAGCCTGACTGAGGCACTTGTCAACGCAGAAGAAGCGGAAGCAGACAGATGGAAGAAAATGTACAAGTCAGTCTGTGCCGAACGTGACGCGTTGATCAGGAAGAATGACTCTCTGAAGTTGTCGCTTCATGATGCCAAGTGGGCCATGCAATCTATTCCGGCCTCTTGGAGCACGGCAGTTCCTACAACCGCTGTGCCCGCATCACCATCGGCTTTGCCTCCTACAAGCTTGGCTCCGAGAGCAACAATGTCAACAGCCATGACGCCGTCTTTTGCGGTATCGATCTCAACACCCAAAGGAACTCCTAAGGCATCTTCATCTACAAAGGGTCATGGACCTGCACTACAACATCCTCCTAGCACAAGTAATGCCATGGACAACAAGATCAACAGTGAAATGGATGATCTTCGTGAGAAGCTTCGCCTGTCTGAAGAGCAAGCACAACAGAACTATGACGAGATGAAAGAGTACCAGAGTTGGTTGGAACAGGTGGAAGAAGGACAAGAGACGCTGAAGGGCAGCAATGTCCCTGAGTTTGATCCTGTCCCTGACAATCCTCCCGGACTTTGGGATCGAAAAGATGGTAAAGATGCCAGCGTTGCCAATAGCGAAATTGGTCAGGATGGAAAGGATTGGGTTACCCGAATCTCGAGGAAGGAGCACGAGAGGGTCATCGTTAAACCATGGCCCAAATGCCAAGATCTTGATGTATGGCGTTCGAACGTCGTGCAAGAAGTATGCGTTGCATCAGGAGATCCTGACACTGAAGCATGGAGAAGATGGTTATCCCCTGCTCAACTACCTAGTCCTGACTATGCTGAACTAGCTGACTCAGGTGAATTCCGTTTCCAGTCCATTGACTCCAAGCTGTCCATTGCCTTGCAGAACATGGTGGATGCCGCTGGTGAGACAGCGTTCGAAGTCAAGGTGCGGATCAGACAGAGGAGTCAGGTACTTGGAAAAGAAGGGAACTTCCTGATGGGCAGAGAGATATTCGCGATGATACTTGATCATTTCAGGACAACATCTAAAGATGAAGTGTTGTTCAATGCCAGCCACATCTACAAACTACAATACCGTGGTGACAAAGAGATGGACAAATTCCTCAATGCTTGGATTGAGATCATTGCAAACATGAAGGTTGAGGACATTCCATCTGACAACACACTACGTGATCATCTCCTAAGGAAGATTGATGGTTCTCAGGCACTGCATGTCGACCTCACGATCTTCAAAGGCAGGCACAATGATGATGAGAAGAAGTCCTACAAAGAACTGCTAGAAATCATGAGGAGATATATTGCACGAGTGCGTGAAGATAGAAACGTTGCAGCCAGAGACAAGTTTGCCACAGACTACACCAATCTTGGTAAGCCAACTACCCCTGCACCAAAGCCTGCGACT